TGATTACCTGCATTCACCGGTTATGGGAACAAAAACCAAAAGGAAGGCTGTAGATATTTTTCACTACCTTCCCAAAGTAGAAATGTTCCTAAGTTAAAGGATAAGTATAATTTATCTGGATACACACAGGTTACTTTTTGCAGAGACCAGAGTTGTTAACACATACTAGTAATGGTTGAATTTTTACACATGCATCTTATTTTCTTTCCTGGCCATTGACATTCTCTGTTGGTGTTCTGAGATTAAATGCTGTACCCAATAACACTCTCTCTTAGCCTAGTTCTGGTAAACACCACTGACCCAAATTCAGGATCTCCTATAGCAGTGTCAGTGTTTGCTCTGGTGACCCTCTGCTGAACTTTGATCAAAAAGATTGTTTAGGAAGAGAAGTGAATGTTCTTTCTTCTGAGAGACAATATGATCAAGGATGCTGAAGAAAGGCCCTGAGAATATGCAGAACAGGTTACACTGATCAAAGTTAGAAAAATAAAAAACCGTAATCTGAAACCATAAGTACAGTCCTAACACAGTAAAACAGGCACACTTTCCTTGAAAAGCAGTAATTTGTAACTTATTCAGATGTCTCAGCTAGGAGTTTCCTCTTCTTATCTGATTCTTCAAGTCTAGATATGCTACAACGCTGTAACTGAAAATGGATAGCCGATTCTGTCGTGGCCTGTGTGCTCTAAAACCTGGGAACAGACTAAGGGGATTTTTGAAAAACTTACACAGCTCTGAAGTGTCCCCACTGGCAGTTTCAATAACATGAAGTCACCAGACAGACACTCATTCCGTGCTGTCACTTCACTTTCAGAGTCTTGAATTCAAACTTCCAGACCGTGTGAGTTTGCATGTCAGCAGATGCCATTTAGAAAGCGGCTATTAACCTGCTGTTGTTTTTCCTATTGTTTGCACTGAAACATTTTCTTGTTATACTGCACGTAACATTTCAACCTGATTTTCTTTTATAGTGTCTGACCACACTCTGACATTCCTAGAAGTTCTGAATAGTCTCAGCTTGTCATAACTTCCTACATCACGAGTATCATAAAAATAACCAAGAACTGACCATACAGCACTCGATCCAGAGCATCACAGCCTTATCCCTACATCGAGTAATTTAGGGCTGCCCCACTTCTCAAATTCTCTTTTCCCTAAAGACTGAAAAGACTGTAAATTTTAAGTTGATTTTTAGAGGACATTTACAACACTGTCTATTTGCGTTAGCACCATCTGACAGAACAGGCAGGGATATTTAGTGTGTCAGATGAAAGCTTCATTGTTTATTTTTGTTGGCCTGAGGCCATTTGAAAGTTTTCTTATTCACTGAAAGGAAGGAAGGGCAGGGAGATGCAGAAATGATGGCTGCTTGGCTTCAGGTGCCTATGATGAACCTACATACTCACTTTCTCAGGGAAAATGTACCTTGTTGCAAGTGCAGAGTCCATGACCACTAGGAGTAATAGCCACTCGCATTTTTTCAGTAAATGTTAAATTTGGATTGCTGAGTATCAAACAACTTTCTGGCCTTATAAACACACAGTTGTAATTGAAAAAAAAAGAAAATATACTGATACTAATTATGGTTCTCTGCTAACACTTACCTCCCTTCCTAACTATTCATACAAGTTTTTTCACCTCTGTTATGATACATGTAAGTATCAAAATTCTGAAAAACTAACTACTCAGGTAATATGAATGTCTGTATCTCCTTTCCAACTTCATTACATACTCATCTGCAGAACAAGCTGTAATATTTTTGCTCAATACAGTCTACCTTAGAAATGAAAATATGGAACATGCAAGTGAAGCTTCATTTCAGTTGTTTCCAGATTCTATTTTCTTTGGTCTAGAAAGAACACTGCCACTGAAGTGGGTGCCAGTGCATCAAAACACTGTGATGAGTATTCTCATGCTTTCCTGTTTTGTATAGGAAACGAACCACTGCATTTCAACTTGTTGTGTCTGTATGGTTGTCTCCAAAATATCTAGCTGTAAATAATTGTTTGGCTGGCAACAGGTCAGCTAAGTCTCAGGAAGAAAACTACTGATATCCTCTTCAATAAAACGTGCTTCATTCAAAATCGCTGTTTTAAGGAAGAAATTATTTCTGAAATAATTTCTTTCTATCTCCAATTCCTTGTAGTAAAATGAAGCTAAGAATATTTCGGTACACATCAAATAAGTTTTGACAATCAACATGTAGAGATGAAGACCATGCAGACAGAATAAAATCTGTATTATTTTAGTAATGTGGGAAACTGCTGACCCACCAACAGACTTTTGTTAAAACTAGGAATTGACTCAGCTGTCACTGTTTAAGGCTATTTGATGCAGAAACAGTTACAAGAGAACTTAAGCCAAATTACACACTTTAGTTCATTTTCTTATTTTCACTTCAAGCTGTAAGTGTGATCTTTAGCCCAAAGATGCCGTGCTGCATTTTGCGCATTCATTAAAATCCACTGAAAATGTAGGAAGTTTTAGAATGGCAGCTATGGACAGATTTATTTATTTTAGAAAGTATGACTGAAAAACACTTCTCTGAAAGTCACAGCTACATCACAATGGTCCACATTTAGAGCAATGCAAATATATTCTGGCAGACAGCAACAGATGTCTATAGTATCCAATTCAAAGATAGAAAAACAAGGTGGATGATCTTTCCTTCCACAGTTACAAGGACAATGTTTATTGCTGTACTCCACATCAAATGTAAAAATCTGAGTGAAGCATCTGAGTACTAAAGAACAGCAGCCAACTTTCTTTGAGTAGGGTGGTATGCAGAATTTGAGTAAATCCTTTTGCTTGTTGAACCTCCACTCTCAAGGAAAGTCCCTGAGACAGCAATGAAGATTCTGTCCCATTCCCTAATTTCCCCACACTACTTGTCCATAGTGATAGTAACCAAGGAAGATCGCTTTTTCCTAGGTTTCTAGGCCCAGTTACTCAGCTAATGACAAAAGTGACCACTATTCTGCTTAATAATTGCTTAATGCTCTTCTATTTAAACAGAAGGGCTTAGGCTCCTGTAAATCACATGCAGCTTGAAAGAATTAAAGCCGTATTTGTATTTTTCCAAACTTAATCTGCACTGCTTTAGGTTCGACACTCCATTTTCCTCTTTCCGTTTTGAAGATTTCTTTCTCATGTAATCACTCACCATCAAGCTATATCAAGTTATTTCCTCAGTATCAAGCACCATCTAGACAACTACATACATGATTAACAACTTGCTGACTAACCATTGGCAATGAATTCAAGTTTCTTCCTGTAGTTTTTGGCACGTAGCTTCAACTGATAAAATAATGGATTGCCGACACGATTCATATTTCCACTGTAGCTGACATCTCTGTTCCACCTGAAATGCTCACCAACCTTTACTTTAGAAAGGGTGAGCTCAGATATGCAAAGCACATATTCAAGGACTCTTGGAAGTTTTACAAACCTTCAGCTCCTACTTCTTTTCTCAAAGAAATTTCTGGGAAATTCTTTACCAAGACATGTCGCTTCCTTTTCCTATGTTTTAGCTCCTAAGATACTAATCACAAGCTGAAGCTTTCCACAGGTGAAGTGGAGTTCAGTGAAGAAAGAGGAACTAAGCTATATTGAAGGCACCAGATGCTGATGCCCAGTTACTTTAAACCCAGCAAACAGCCCTCAACATCCTAAAAGAATTAGCATTAGAAATGGATTTCTAATCACAGACACAAAACATCAGAAGGTGTAATAAAATTCTGGACAGGTATACTTGACTTGTATAACAGAGTGATTATGCCTATTTACACCAGACTGCTATCTATATGACAAGGTACTGACTTCAATGGTGTAATTCAGAGAAACTGTGGATAAAATTTCAAAACTGAAATCAAAACACTCTTCTAGGAAAGACTGTTTGAGGAGAGAGTAAGGCAGAAAATCATCCAAAGGAGAATAAGGATTTTTCTGTTACCATGGAGCACGGAAGAAAGAGCATTTATCAGACACAAGGAATTCAGGGAAGTTCTAGTATAGCATTTGCACCAGAATCTGCAAAAAATATTCGATGCGCAACATAGGCTAATTAATTTAAATTATTTTTTAATTTAAGTTTAAAGGTAAAGAAATACTGCACATAAACTTCCAATGAGTTGTGGGGGTTGGTTGGTTTGGTTTTGTAAGAAAAAAAAAAAAAATCTAACTTTTTGGTGTCCTATTTTTAAACATTAGGCCAAAGTTTTTCTTAAGGAAATTCAACAATTAAAGAAATTAAGACTTTGTCATATCTTACAGGACTTATTTTCAAGATTTCAAGACTAATTCATTTGTAAGTTATTTAGTACAGGAAAGTTCATTCCTAATAAGTACTAATAAATATACTAGTAAGTACCATGATATTTCAGTAAATATTTCTAATCAGAAACAAGTGTTCTACAGAAATAAAAAGATGGAAGGAAAACAACTTACAGTCTTCAACTAAAGAAACAGAAATTGTCTCCTCATAAAATTTGGTCTAAGATTTTAAACTCATCTCAAAAGCATTTTCTATATTCTACAGATTACAGTACATATCTGATAGAATAAATATAAGGAATTATCATAACAGTCCTGATATCGATTTTTAATCTTGAAAAAACCCCTATGGTTATAGATTAAAAATTGTGAAAGTACTGTAAGGAAGATCAAACTACTAACAGGCACCTACACATAAGAATTTCCTTCTTACCTCTCTCTTGCAGTATAGAAATTGAAGACAGTACTTATTCCAATTATGGTGTTCTAAAGCACACCTTTCCCCCAGCCCAATAAATTAAGCTAGAGCCAAAAGTCTTCACTAAAATTTATGAGATATCATTAAACCATTTGAACAACCCTGCCTTCAAGGGAAGGCTTAATTAAAAGATTTGGTGACTACTTTTTTACATTAAAGCCACATGAACCTCACATTGTAGCAAGATCTGAACTTTGAATTTATGTGGTGTTTATCTGCCTGAGGTTACCAAAAATCACATCTAACATACCTTGGCAAAAAAGACCGTGAGGTGTGTTTCACTGCCGAGTATCCAAATGGGAAATTTTGGAGATTTCAAATAGGAGCCAACCTTAAAAAGTACAACAAAATCAGAAATGCAAAGCAAACCCAGAAAATTCATCCAGTTAGTGATCAAGTTAATAACAATTCAGTTAGTGAAGTCCCAACTGCTCTGAAAACTACTATAAAATGTTCAAGAAAATGACAAAACAGTGTAAAATACTTAGATTCTAATTTTGATCACTGATTCCTGTTTGACTTGGAAAGCAACACAGCTTATTATAATTAATTGAAATAACATCAGTGAGAATGTTGTCAACAATATTCCTTATTTCAACCTTTGAGACATGCTTCAAACACTGCACACAAGTAAGTACTCCTATGCTTAACAGCACTATAATTGGATACTAAATGAGGTAGAAGTCCACTTGACTTATTAGCTGGTTTTGCATTAATCAATTCAGAATTGGAACTTATTTAATAAATGAAGTGACAGTTAGTTACAGTCAATACACCAACATTCTGGAAAGTATATAATCCTCTTTAATCCTGAGCTAAGTTAAAGGACTTCAATAGAGATTGAAAAGGAAGCAAAGAACAACCAAAAAGCCTTTTCAAATTAAGAGTATTAATGCTGTTTCACAAGTAGAATTTGTAAAGCACAAAATTTCTCAAATAAAAACCTTAAATCAAGAAATTCTGTGTCACAATGGGAAGAAACAATATGGACTAGGTTGCACTTTAGTTACTTTCAGATGCTTACAGATGAATACATAAAGTAACTTTCAGGTCTTGAATGTATTATATTCAGAATACGTTTACTTAATAGTAGTTTTATCATTCTTATTTATGGCTATTTATTTTAAATGGAAGACAGTGATAACATAAAAAGTGAACAACAAAACTGCAACATTCACAACAGCAAGCCATTTTGGGACTTGACAGTTTTATAACTATTTGCATAACTTGCATTAAACATTATTTCAGTAATACATAAGCTTCCAACCAGCTATGTTAAATTGGTGCAATAAAGTTCTATTTTAAATAGCAAACAACATTTATTCAATAGATACATTTAAGAATTTTGTATCTGTTTCAATATACTATTATTCTCATTATTACACTATTATATAATTTGAAGTTGAACATACTTTGAAAGTTCTTGAATATCTTCAATTGTACACAGTGAAGATTTTAGTAATACTGTCAAAGAAGCCCGCAACACCTTAATAAAAGAAAAATTTTAAATGATGCAGAAAACAGCTTACCTTACAATATCTCAGAGACTCCATCAATGTCAAAAAGCCTACTGTTGCCTGTTTATGTATACCAAGAAGTTCTGTTCAAAAGAAAACAAAAATGTATTCAAGAAAAATCTGCAAAGCCTCTTTTAAGCCATTTTTTCTTACTTTCAAAACTGGTCAAATAATAACAATTTTAAAAGTGATGCGATTTTAGCAACAATGGCAAATCGTGAAGGTATAGTAAAAAAACTACGAAGGTTTACTAATTTCCCTCTCTATAAAATATGAAGAGCCAAACTGATGGTTTTAAAAGTTTACTGTTGATAGCCTCTTTTCAAAAGTTGTTGGATTTATTAGGAGATGAAATACTTGTAACTTACACAAAAATTATTCTCAGAAAAATTTAAGAAAAACAGCTACCTTGAAGGAGAAAAAACACATATAGATGTATTTTTTTCCTTTTTTCTTTCTTTTTTCTTTTTTTTTTTTTACGATTTCTCTGGCTATATTTATCTTAATCATTTTGCATTCTGAATAATAAAACATAATTTTGCAAATAATAGTTTTGTTAGTAGGAAAGAAAGCATTCACTCAATTTGATTTACTGCACTGACTTCCATTTAATGTATCATACAGCTCTCAAACACCACAGCTGTCAGGAATAGCTGAAATATTTATGTACTACTGACTGGAAGAGCACTTACAAAGCCTGATTTGAGGCTCTCTAATAAAGAATGAGAAAGCACTTCAATATTCAGGCTTAGAAACTAGTTATAATTATAAGGATTTGAAGAAGCTCTGGGCTTACATATACATCATCTCAACAGTGCAAGTTCTGTCTCCTTGAAACAGCTCTGCTAAACATTGTCTAAACAAAGAGCAGCACATACCTGATCCTGCAAATAAACATAGGAACATATGCCATGATCAATTTAATAAGATCAGTATTTCCTTTTTTTCAGAGAACACTGACTTCTGTATTTGAAAGTTCCTTCTAAAATACTAATTCTCAACTATATTTTTTTAACATTGATCATTCATGTACAACAGCATAAAACCATGACATCTTTATCCATGGGCTAAAGCCTCAGGACCACAGCAAGTGAAAGAAACTGTTCGAAATTTAAAAGATTTCTTGACTTCCAGAAATCAATTCTGCATTTCATTGTAACTCACAGCACTAGCCATGGTATGCCATGCTTCCTTCACTAACTTCAAGTTTACCTCTCTAAATTTTGCAATAGTGCAGAACAGTTATTATAGTAATGTTTTACCTTTTTGCTCTACTGTTAAGCAAAAATACCCCACCATCCCCAAAACAAAACCACAACTTCAACAAGCAAAACCCAAAAATCTTAAAGCCAGTAACTTGTTTGCTACCTCTGTGGCCTGGAAGTACAATTCCTTCCTTAAAGTTGTCAGCTGTATATACTACAAGGCTCTCTTTGCAGTGCAGAATTCTTTGATCTGAAACCGCACTTTCAAGGATTATCTTTAAATTCGCTTGGAATTAGAACATTTGGGGGTGCATAGATAACACTTTGCAGAACCCTATTACCTCACTGGCTTATAGCTGTGTTGCTATAAATTGCCATACGCTGAGACAATTCATGCTTTCTTCGAGCCGAGGTCAAGAGAGCTAGCCCAATTAAAAGACTAGTGAAGGATCCTTCAAACTAGGGAATAGCTATTGCTCAGAAATAGCACATTTATATGTGCAATGGAGAGAAACACACAGCAGAAGTAAGCAACAGTACATAAAATCAATAATTTTAACACATCACATATATTTCTTAAAAAATCATTAATAAAATTCAATGTAAAGTTCAATCTGCTAATCAAAGACTTCAGCTTCAGGAGCTGATGCTTGGAACAGAACAGCAAAGTCATACATAAATAATATTTACTATTCAGAAAATGATTCAGAAAAAAAACCCAATCAAATTACTACGTATTTTGTTCCCCTGACAGATAACTAGATGAGAACTCTGACTGATAACTAGAGAGAGCTGGGATCCTGGCTATGACAGCAGCTGCAGAGTGTGAGTATCCTGACCAGCTAATAGTCACGCCACGTGGAGAGTGTATCTGAAAGCTCTCAGGTTAACTAGCCAGGAGTCACTGGTCGACCCGTGCCTCCTCCAGAACTAGTCAACGGACAAGACAGACCCAAAGGCAAAAATCACTGTCAGGTGAGTTAGAAGGAAACAAAGGGAGAGTAGCTGCCCTAAAGCAAAGTTTATCCTTGTGAATATCCTCACCCCACAGAAAGAAAACACACACCTGGAAGAGATCTGATAACATGAAAAATCATCTAAGAAAATGAAGACGTATGCCTCTTGTCAGAAAGTTAATTTCTCTTTTTTTTTTTTTTTTAAAAAAAAAAAAAAAAAAGTACTTTTGCAAAGTACTCATATTTCTAAAAAGGGAGAAAACCGGAGCCTTTAAAAAAAAGGCCAGGCCTAAACCAATGACGGTTTTAAAATGTAATGATGTTACCAACCGTAACAGAATAACGCCACCTAGTGACAGCATGGAACAGCACAAATTCTTGGCACTACTTCGATAAAGCAATTACAGCATTATCTCTACTCATATTAAATTGCTACATATCACCTAAGAATGACAGTCTTTAAAAAAGAAGGAAAAAAAAATATCTACCTCCCCATATCTTCCTACTGTGGATAACTGTGGCAAGAGAAGAGATTGGAATATCAAGAAAGGTTTAAAGGGGAATATGTCAATAGTCAAAGAAGACGGATCATTTCACTGGTATTTGTGCCAGTGGTGGCCAACAACAATTCCAGTTAATAACTCCTGCCCTATTTGGAAAATGTGCAATACTTTAAGAGTTAGAGCTCTGAGTATAATCTTCAATCTACCTGGTAATTCCTCAAGTTTCTAATTCAGTATTTTCTTTATCACTGATAAAATGATAGTAACTTTAAAGTAATTTTAGAGATTTACTTATTAATTAAAAATTGCTTATCTAAACAGATGAACAAGAGGTAAGTGACTTTACATAGCTTCTGAATAAAAATGTAAGGCAAGTGCCATTCTAATAGTTCGATGTACTAAACATGTTTACTTATAATAATAGCATCACCTATCTAGCATTTTTCCTGTTCCTGCATTGTGGCTGAATCTTCTCACTGCTGCTTCATTGCTGCCCCTGCAAATATACCATGAACCACATCACACCCACGGTTTTCTGCAGTTCTTTAGCACCACTTTTCCCCCGTGCCCAGGGATACCTTTCCTGCCCCTCAGTTTCAGAAGTTCACCTACTGATTACACCTAATCACAGAAGTACCTGAAATCTCTTTCCATTATGTTTATGCATGGAAAAATCGAGCAGGGCTCACTGGCAATCAGCTCTGTCCAATACTAATGTCAAACCTTCCAACTTGCAGTCACTTGACCAGAGGAATTCAAGGCAAGTGACCAGCAACCAAACCAGAAAAACATACATAAAGCCAACTTCAGATATTAGTCAGGAAACACATTCAGTTCTTGTTATTTGGACATCTGCAACCCTTCTACATGAGAAACTCATAGTGTTGGTAGAAAGGAAGCTGAAGACTACAGCCAAAGAGAATCAAAGTACAGGAGGAATGATTGTAGGAGAAAAGAAAAGATGACAAAAAGGACTGATAGATAAAGGAAATGTGACAACATACCCAAAATTCAGTCTTGTCTAATAAGCTGTGAACTGCACAAGATGTTCTTTGTCCTTTTTGATAGACTACACAAATCGCTTTGCAATAGATACTGATTATAGACTTAAGACGGTGAATAAGCTGGTTTTGACTATAATTATCTCAAGGACTTGAAGAAAATGGAGGGCTCCCAACAGTAGTTAACTCCAATTACTTGACTGGTGAAAACTAACAGGACACACAATACCAGATTCTTAAGATGCATTAAAGATTATTTTCTGCTCCTCCTCTCCCCCCATAAAGAGACAGATGTTTCTATGGGAGCTCTGGTTCTGGATTTTTAGGGCAGAATTGATTGAGAATCTAAATGTGGAATATTACTGTGTGAAAAGAGAGTTTAGTGTTCTCAGAAAAGAAAAAAATTCCAACTTGGATACCTAATGAATATGGTCTACCAGAAAGATAATCTGAAAGGCAAACAAAGGAATGAACTGCAAAGCTTCAAAAAAAGTTACATTAAATTGCAGAATAGGAAATTAGCCCAATGTAAAGGAAAACTGAAAGAACAATTCAGATTGATTTTTAGATCGTGATCAACCAAAAAGAGAAAATTACAAATACTGAAGAGAACATATGGATAAAACCAGAAAGGCTAATTACAACAAATTTCAGTTAGGAAGGGGGGTGGTGGTAAATGACAACAACGTTCTATACATGCAGCATGAATCAGGTTAGCAATGGACTGATAAAACACAAAAGAAAATGATATAAAGAAAATACAGGTATTCAAAGCTATCTTTGCTTTGATTCACAAGAAGGTAAATAAAGTCGTATACACAAGATGACTAACAATGAGATGATGGTGTCAGCCGTAAAAAAAAAAAAAAAAAAAGAACAAAATTGGCTAAAACCGGTAAATGAGCCAGACATGTTCAATCTTGCAAATCTTAATGAAATTCGTTATATAACACTTAAGTAGCTAGACAAAATAAGTCTCTGAACCATTAATGACCACCCAACATATCAAAGATAAAGGAGGTGTCAGGAGACTAGAAAAGGCAAAACTGGGTATTTACCCTAACAAAAACAACAAAAAAAAGCTGGAGGAATGTATTGGGTTTGCATGGCAAGGTTTTGGTAGTGGGGGGGCTACAGGAGTGGCTTCTGTGAGAAGCTGCTGGAAGTTTCCCTGATGTTCGATAGAGCCAATGCTAGCCAGCCCCAAGATGGACCAACCGCTGGCCAAGGCTGACCCCATCAGCGATGGTGGTGGTACCTCTGCGGGACAGCAACCAGGAGAGAGGTGTGAGAGCAACAGCTCTGCAGACACCAAGGTCAGTGAAGAAGGAAGAGGATGAGATGCTCCAGGTGCCATAGCAGAGATTCCCCTGCAGCCTACGGTGAAGACCATGGTGAGGCAGGCTGTCCCCCCGCAGCCCATAGAGGTTAATGGTGGAGCAGATATCCACCTGCAACCTTTGGAGGCTCCAAAACCAGAGCAAGTGGTTGCACCCAAAGGAGGTTGTGACCCCACAGAGAGCCCATGCTGGAGCAGGCTCCTGGCAGGACCTCTGGCCCCATGGAGAGAGTAGCCCACACCGGAGCAGTTTGCTGGCAGGACCTGTGACCCCGTGGGGGACCCATGCTGGAGCAGTCTGTTCCTGAAGAACTGCACCCTGTGGAAGGACTCACATTGGAAAAGTTTGTGGAGAACTGTCTCCTGTGGGAGGGACCCCACACTGGAGCAGGGAAAGGGTGTGAGGAGTCCTCCCCCTGAGGAAGAAGGAGCAGCAGAAACAACATGTGATGAACCGACCACAACCCCCATTTCCCATCCCCCTGCACTGCTCAGGGGGAGGAGGTAGAGAAAATCTGGAGTGAAGTTGAACCTGGGAAGAAGGAAGGGGTGGGAGGAAGGTGTCTTAAGATTTAGTTTTTATTTCTCATTACACTACTCTGATTGGATTGGTAATTGCTGAGTGATGTCCCTGTCCTCATCTCGACCCATGACCCTTTTATTATATTTTCTCTGCCTACCCCGTTGAGGAGGGGGAGTGACAGAGCAGCTTTGGTGGGCACCTGGTATCCAGCCAGGGTCAACCCACCACAATGAAAACCCAAGGAGAAAGGATGATTTTAACCTCCAAGGGGTCACGAAACAAATTAGTAATCTATTTGCATACACAAGAAAGGACAAACAAACAAACCAACCCCCAACCAACCAACAAAACAAACAAAAAACCCCCCAAAAGCAGTCAGTATAGGCTCATCAATAATAAGACTGCAATAATCCAATCTAAACGCCCTGGTAAGAAGTCTACCAAATAGGTATAAGAAGAGTCGATGCAATATCCAAATGACATTCTGATAAGTCTGATGCTGAAGTATAGCCTGCATGGAATCATAATCAAGTAGAAGTCTAAAAAGTCTCAAAGGAAATTATACTACTTGTTCATTGTCAAACAGGAGCATTTTGATTCAGGTCTTGCATGGATCTGTCTTGAACTTCAGTTCAAGTCAGTATTTTCAGAGATTACTGAGATGATGGAAAATTCCCGTAAGAAACATGCTGATGAGCCTGAGATGGACTTTCTAGCAGTGGGAGAGAAGATGTGAACACTTTCAGAATTCAAAGTGTTCCTGCTTTCAGATCGTCTTCTCTGTTTGTAAGATGAAATGCAAACAACACAAAAGCCTGCTAATCATCTTGGTGGCCCTCCACTGGACTTGCTCCACTATGTCAATGTCTTTCCTGTACTAGGGAGACCACAAGTGGACACACCATTCTACATATGGTCCCAAAAGTGCCACGTAGGGGGAAAGAAACATCACTTCCCTTCAACTGCTGGCTACTCTCCTCCTAATGTAGCCCAAGATGCAGATGGCCCTCTTTGCCAGAAGGGCACACTGATGACTCATCTGCAACTTGCTGCCCACAAGGACCTCAGGTCCTTTTCTATGTATCTGCTTCCTAGCCAGTCAGTGCTGCCCTGTGCTGTTGCATGGCCCTATTCTATCCCAGATGCAGGATTTTGGTGAATTCATAAGGTTCCTGTCAGTCCATTTCTCTAGCCTGATGTGGCTGCTCTGAATCGTGGCCCTGTCTCCAGTGTAATGACTAACCTTCCTAACCTGCAGAGACTGCACTCCCTTCCATCATCCAGGTCATCAGCTACCTTATAATTTCAACCTTCAGTGAATCCTGGATTGTCAGCTAATGTTAACATCACAGATTTTGTGCAAGTATGTATTGTTTCCATTTGAGGTCTGCTTAAATCAAAGGACAGTAAACAAGAAGTCTATCAAAACAGAAATATAGGATATTCCTAATTTGTAGGTCAGCATCTCATAATATGTAAAAATTATGAACAAGCACAAACTAGAATCAACTTACTCATTCCTGAACATTCTCTGTCTCCATCCCACACATTAGAAACAGCATGGCCCGTCAACAGCAGGTTAATCAAACTTTGGCTATATAACAGAAAAAATAGCCTATTAAAAGGGATGTAGAATTTATTCCTGAAGAAGTGGTCATCTCTAACCAATAAGAAAAGTATTGTATTACCTGGACAACTAAGCAGATATTCTCTAACTATATTCCTTTAATTAGCATATATTTGTAATTCAGCAATGCTAAAATGATCTCCACTCTATCAATCAACAACTTGATATAAAAATGTAGCCCTGAATTTGAGAATTATTCCTCTGAAAATTCAGCAATAACAAAGCATTTCCTCAGAACTGATGCACTAAATGGAGTAAGCAGTGAAAAAGGCATGCTATGTTAAGTGTTGCTTTTAGCTATTACAAAGTTATAATTGAATCTTTGTTGTAATGTCAATAATTTCCTAAAAGAATGATCAGTTACAGAAACATAAAAAATTAGTCACTAATCTAAGTGGTAGCCACCATATATTGCAGCTTACCTTCCATGACCGTAAACAGGATCTATCAATGGCTCAGTTGCATCTTCAATTTCATTTTTTATGTTTTCAATACCCTGCAGAAAAATTAAAAACATTTTTGCTCTCTTCAGGAATGAATTGCAACATTTGTAACAACAGAATGCAATAGTAAAACATCAGGAGACTGATGTTCTTACATGAATTGATACGTAAACACACTTCTTTCTCTTGATAAAGAGATGGTAGGGATATACAAGGAAGGATATTTCCAAAATCCATAATTCTCCCACATCAGGAGGTGGGGGGAAAAAAAAAGAAAAAAAGGTCTGAGCTTTTCGAATATTTACGTTGGTGATGTACTGTAACATGAATGAAGATGCCATTCCATCCATTTATTTAGATTTGACTTAGTTTATCAGTTCAGTTTAGTGTTCACCTTTTACAGAAAAAGGGTTACATGATCAAACTTTCTCTTAACAAAAAAGTAGTTGTTCAGCCTGGAGAAAAGACGACTCTGGGGAGACCTTATAGCGACTTTCCAGTATCTGAAGGGCGCCTACAAGAAAGCTGAAGAGGGACTTTTTACAAGGGTATGTAGTGACAGGACGAGGGCTAAGGGCTTCAAACTGGAAGAGGGCAGATTTAGATTAGATATTAGGAAGAAATTTTTCACTATGAGGGTGGTGAGACATTGGAATAGGTTGCCCAGGGAAGTTGTGGAGGCCCCATCCCTGGAGGAGTTGAAGGCCAGGCTGGATGGGGCTTTGAGCAACCTGGTCTAGTGGGAGGGGGCTCTGCCCATGGCAGGGGGGTTGGAACTCGCTGATCTTCAAGGTCCCCTCCAACCTAAACTGTTCTATGATTCAATGATTCTAAGAAACAAACCAAACACACACACAGAAAAAGATCAGACAACCCACAAACCTTTGTCAGTATTACAGAATACAGAAAGAGCAATACTCCAAATCTGTTCGTCCACACTGAATATTGATCCCAAACTGCATCCTTCAGTTCAGGGAAGCTTCTGAATGCCCGTTTGCTAAATAAAAAACAAAACAAACAAACAAACAAAACCAAACCAAAAGAGGAGAATGCATTTAGAAGAAGCATTAGAATAGTGTCACAATGCACAAACAAGAACTATTAATACCTAATATGAAAACGTAAAAGCAGAGTAAAACTGGTGTTATATACAGAATGACACAGCAGCTGTTCTGGAGTTACTATAACTGCCATAGAGTCATTAGTATTTAGATACATATACTGAAGAAGAAGAAGAGAAATAATTCTGGAGCAGTGTGCAAAAATTAATACAATTTTTAAATGCAAACACTAACCATAAAGTTACATATACGTGTGAAAGAGCTGAGTGGCTTGAATCAGTAATTCTACAAAATAGTTACTGAAATTGCAAATAGACTGTATGTCACCAAAATAACGTTTGCACTATATAGTGTTCTGAAAGACATTCAGTCCATGAACAGAGGAGAAAAAAAACCTTCTACTTGACCAGGTAAGACTATCTTTCAGGCTTTTGAAGTATTTATTACACTTCCCTGAGAATTTGATTTTGTTAGTCTCTAGCTTTGGAAAAAGCAAAATGTTAAACCTTAAGTGGCACATCAACATTTGGGAAACTATCTGGTTGTATAAAAGGGTTGCTGCTAGATGATAAGGTAACACCAGGTGATCATATGTTTAAAAAGAAAAAAAGTGACATAAAAACAGAAGAATGGAAGAGATCCATCAAGATTCCAGTAAAGTCATACACTTTCTATTTCTTGGGATATTTAGAGCTAAATACTGCTTTTCAGAACACAAACATTAGTTTTTATTGAGTAATTCGAACTAGATCACACACTCTGCTTATCTCACACAAAGGTAAGGTATATTAGGTATATTATTTTCTTTTAGATTTCTTGGATGCTTTTAGTACATCTTGTTTAAAAAAAGAAACAAACGTGCGAAAATATATCCATAGATGGGTTTACTCTGGCTAACACTTGAGATTTTTAAACTACCTTTTATTATCCACAGAGTATATTAGGCATAAAAGGTATGCAAGGCAAAGTCAGTTCTGATATCCATCACACAGCTGGATTTTAAGGCATATGCCAGAGTGTTCATTTCCAGCGATAAAGACTGAGAAAAACTGAAACGGATACCACAAGTCCAAAGATCAAGGAGGTGAGTGGGAGGGAGGGAGAGGGCAGGAAATTAGTGTTTTGATCAGAGAAGGTTACAAAAATTTTATATTCTCCCTTTTCTTCTTTCCTCATATGACAATGGGTTTAAAGAACAAATTATAATTACTATTGATACAATAAGCAGTAGCCATTTCAGTTCTAATTAGTAACATTTTAAATCTCGAGTGTTTTTTGAAATTCTGTTGCTCTTTGGGGATTTATTTGTATAACAATCACAATTGTTCACCGTGAAAATAAAAGGCTATTACCTTTAAAGATAAACTCACTAGAACTGTAAGCTCTGTATTTACACCCCAAAAAGAGAACAGTATTTAAAATATGAAACAAAAGTCAGTCTTGTATATGAAACATTTTTATAAATGTTTCTTACATTGTCTCAAATCATGAGAAATACTAGATGACAATTTTTCAGTATATGTATCGTGTATTTCAGATAGAATCACCTGTGAAGATTGTTTATAAAAACACTGAGGATTAACATCTTCAATGTAAATATGGGTCTTATTTAGCTGTGTTTATACACTTGAATCGCACAAGTTATCTGGCCAATTTAGCACATTCCATTGCTCCAGTTTTGTTTTAAAGCCCAATGTATACGCTCAAAATAATACTCCATTTTAAACTGTAAAATGTAAAGAACCCCCCCGCAAATCAAAACTGGAAATCCGAGTTTAACCTGATGTGCAACACACACAAAGCTCCTCAACATACCCCTTTCAAGGCTGCGAATATTAATGTAACTTCAAAATACTGTATTTTAAATGTTCCAACATATTACTTACTGAATTAATGCATGAAATCGCTCAAAGCCAAGCTCTTCGACAGCCAAGGCAGCTATACACAAGAGACACTTTTCAGCACTACACATGGCAAAAAATGACACAAGATACACACAGCAAGCTAGTATACTTTCAAGCTTTAATTATATTTTTAATATTTAATCCTCCCTTGACATTTAATTTTTTTTTAACTCATTAGTATAAACTAATTTACTGCAACATTAAGATTCCACCATACAAATTAGTGAGAACATTTCTATTTGGACTAATCAATTTATTAAAAGCACAAAGCCACTGGAGTGTGTAGCCTTGAAAATATTTGTCAAATACTAAGCTGTTAATTCTGTACAAAACGTGGCTGTCACAAAGTCATCAAGCATATGCATACTATAGATATAATTTTGCAGGTCAACAAGAAGTATTACTTCCTAGAAAAGCAAGCATGACTATTTGGATCATTTTATCAATGTAGGTAAGCTGTATTTTTTCTTAAAATATGTTTCTGTTACTGAAATGTTGGGGTTTTATTTCCCATTTTAACGCTTATTTATTACAAACAAATGAGTAGAATTATTCTACACAGTATTACGCATCCTGTTTTTAAATAAATTCTCATTGTTTTCTTTCAGTAATGGATAAATAGCCTTTCAAATAATTGTCACATCCAAGACAGAAAAAAAATACAGCATTAGTGTCTTCCCAAGTTCAACACAGGCTTTATACCTTTGTTCCCCTCACAACATTTTCAAACAAAGGAGTTGAAATGAACTTTTAAAATCAAATTTTCTTTTACCAACAGGAAGTTACACTCACCAGTTGCTTAATTATCAAATTCTATAGGCATTCAAATATCAAAACGGAAGCAGTCTTTAGTGCCATCTATGTCCACAAGGACTTTATCTTCCAGCTAGTGGAATAATACACAAATCAGACAGATCTGCTTTCTCATAAAGGCCGCTTAATGCTGAATATTTAAATGATGTCTGATTATCTCGCTACTGAATTTGACTGCATACACAATTCATTAAAGACCTGAAGCCACTAGGGGTAATACAACTGATCAATTCCTCCCACAAGAATTCCAGAAAGGGCTTTTTATGCCCTTTCTGATTGTATTTTGCAAGATGCACTTGTTTGCCTACGTGCAAATAGAGCTGATTCTCCAGCAATAGAATACTTTCATTTTCTACTTCAGAAATGAGGCAGCAGTAGTCTTAAGAGTGTTTTTGTCTTGTGAAAAACTATACGGAATTGCTAAAATCAGGTGACTAAGAGCAAAATTGGACTTAAGAATACTTTTGAAAAGTATGAAACAATTAATCTAAAATGCAGAAAATTTCCAAATATACTTTTTTTTCCCTTTTTTTTTTTTAAATTAAAAATTGTTTTTATAAGAGAAGTTATAAATGCTACAGGAACTAACCCTGCTCCAAGAACATATATTTTTTGAAGCAGAAAGCTAGAGGGACTAAATCATATAAAGCAATCTTTGAACCTGGGAACTTGCACTATTACAGCCAACGCATGGCCAACAAGTCACTGGTGTACACCACAAAAGCAGATGAAAAATGCAATTGCATTCAGTAAGTGTGCTCGAATCCGCCTTTTGTTCACACAGCAGGATGATAGACAGTTTCATTCTGTTACTACAGAACAGAGTGAAATGGTAAGAGAACTACTCTTTGAAACAAAGGGAAAAAAGTAGAAATCCTGAAGAGAAGTGTAGTTATGTATAACCCAAACAAGGTTAAATAAAGACGGTGCTTAATGGAGAGGAAAACAACCAACAGTAATAGAACTTGAGCTGTACGAGAAATACAATTGTACAGAAAATCTTTAAAATGATACTCTATCAAGCTGCATCTAATCATATTTCACGTTTTTATTATATATTCCCATATTCAATTCCCAAATAGCAGTAGCTTGCCATGTGGAATTGTATCTGTAATACTCCCCCACACACAAACTATCTCCTAAGTCCTACCAACTACGACAATGCCCGTTTCTATTGTTATTGATTACAGCAACCAAGCAAAAAATAAATTTATTCCTTTGCAGTAGCAGGAACAGAACTCTGCATTATTAACATATGCCTTTGTCCCAAGCCTAACCAGGCAAGAAGCTGGTCTATAGTTAAATAGCAGGACAGAAAAGAAAAAAATCCACCCTAACAAATATATCTTAAATCAGGAAGTGCATTGCATTATACATATAAGATAAAATACTGTTTTAACTGTAGAGTACATACAAGAGGTACATTCAGTGACTACCAGGGAATGTAGAATATGAACAGTGAAAGAGATCAACTTTGCTCATGACAAAAGCAGACTGTTCATGGTAAATGCATCCTGCTTTTCTTAAGCACGTTCCATGGTATTAAGGACAAGTCAGGCAGAACTTATAGACTTGGTACAGAAATATGAAAAATGTAGATATGTAATAGATGGATCAGTTCATTAAGTGTTAGTGTTGAGAGCAATTATTAATCAGGTATGTGTTTAAAAAGACTTTCTGCTGAACATTTTCTACAGTCAGAAGTTCTTTAGAATAAGGCAATATATTAATAAACAGGTCAGTAAAAGCCTATTGATAACTGTGCTCCACTTCACTTTCTCTTCAAAGGAAACTTCATAATATGAGCAAAAGCTTCAGAGACAACTGGAAAATCCACAGAAATTAGGAATTTCAGAGTTACAACTGCCTTATTATTGAAGATTTTTTTTTTTTCACAGAAAATTCGTAGATACAACTTTTTGTATAATACTTTTTCTTAACCAAAAAAAAAAAAGCTCACTTTGGAACTCTAACATTGGGACCTTCTGTTTTTTTAATCAAGTAACATTTTAATTATTATTGTTTCAGCCTTCTAAAGCACATGGAGCATTTGACAGAAGCAGATGAAGATGACTTGTAACATAAAGAGCTCCAGCACTACTAATTGCTATAGCTAGCTGCACACATACAAATCTACTTGTACAATTCTTACTTTGTAGTTATGCCACAAACTGCCGAATAACATATTCCTTCCATCAAAAGATGGCACCTTTATAAGCATGCTTTCATATGAAGAGTTTTTCATACTTCTTAAGGGACACATTGGGAACAAAAACTAAAAGAAAAAGAAGCTTATCTTTTAACACGTTAGATATCTTCTATTAAATAACAAATACACATCTCAATGATCATGTGTGCACAGATAAAATTTCAATGTCACTAGCTCCACAGTGGTAAGATACAACTGGATGCTGTATCTTAGGGCAGCAGATGATGTTCACCAGATCCTTGATGTCAGTAAGTAATGAAGGAATCAAGACATTTGCAAAAAGTAGGTAACCGAAAAATTGTAACCTACAAAAAATTCTGCTAATCTACTAGAAGGTGATTTGCTTAAACTGTTTTGGTACTGCATGGAATCAAACCAAGGGAAAAAGTACTTTTCCATAACAGGGGATCCAGAATATTTTAGAACAGATAAAACTTCGCTGAATTTCCTACAAAAGCTCTTCTGAAATAAAGCAACAAGTGACAAAGTATTCCTCTAGCGTTAGGAAGCATGTAGATTTTTCCAAATTAAAGACACGTCAGGTCCCAATAAATTACAAAATAAAATTGAAAAGATTATGTAAATTGCTCAAATTCAAGAGAAACACGTATGTTAGAACTCCAGTGAGAGACAGTACATTTGTTACAACAAAAATGATCAACGACTTTAATTACAACAGACAAAAATCTGTCTACTGCTAATGGAATCACAAAGGTGAACCCCCCCCATGTAATAATAAAAAGCAGTGGCCCCTCAAAACCAACATAATACTTCACTAAGTGATGGGTAATTTAGAATAGAAATACATCTTACAAGGTTGTTCCTCTTGACGACTAGATTCTGCAGGACTTTCAGAAATACTAGCAGTTTCTTCAGTTGTTTTTCCTCTTATCCATGTTGCCAGAGAGTACGACTCAGAATTATCAGAGCAAGCCATTTCCAAAATATCACATAATGTATGACAAAGAAGGTTCTTCTGCTCCTCTTCTGAAAGATCAGAAACCTACATGAGTTCAATTGCTGCTAATCAGTATCTTATATAAGCTACTAGTATGTTTTTTATATGTTAATTTTATCTAAATAATTGAGTTTATTACTTTTATCTTATTAATTATTAATGTTAATTGCTGTTTGACTATACTGGACCAAAGAATTATAAAGTGGTCTTTAGAAAAATGTGTTTTAATATGATTTCTAATCCATTCCTTTCCTAACAATAGATTTTAATCAAATATTTATAAAACAGAGAAGTACTACAGACAGACGTAGACCTCACAAATGGGAGTTTAGAGACATGTAGTATACATACTGTATGCCTCATAAAATGGCATGGGAGCACTTAAACAAAACGAAAGTGTAAAATATTTTAAATTCTTTGTACTAGGACATGCTTTACAAATAAATAAAATGGAAAAAATGAAGAAGAAAAAAAAAGGTCTCAGTACCTGGACAGTCTCTCCAAGTAGACTTTTCGCTGGTAAAAAGCCTCTTCAAAAGGAATGCCTTCGTTATCAAAGCATAAAATAATATTAAAATACAAGACAACACCAACTTTTACATTATGTCACAAGCTCTACACCAAAGCATTTTTGCATGTTATTAGAAGGGTTTCAAGCTAGTCATTGCCCAGTACGACACCCTGAGCCCACACTGTTTACTGATTTTTCCTATTCAAACTAACTACAAAGGTGCCCTCATACCCGAGTTCACTATTGTTGGGTTTGAACTTCAAGTATGCTTCAAATAAACAGAGTGCATATTTACATAAACATCTCCAGACTCACAGGACTGCAGTAATGCAGGCAGAAATAGTTTGCAGTATAAGTGATGAGTAGTACAAGACATACCCCTTTGGTAAAGGGCCCACCTGTTTTGACCATTGCAAGTCATAATTCACAGATGAAAGAAAACCTATGCATCTCCATAGCCCTGCTTTGTTTCCATCAACACTACTGTTGCAATTACAACAAAGCTAAAAAAGATGCGCTCGAAGTTACAGAGAATGAAAGAACAAACTTTGGGAAGCAGGCTCTTGGTCTTTCTGATTGTTCTATTAGATGCAGTTTTAGGTATTTCCAGCACCTTAAAAATATCTCCTTCAACTTTCACTTCTTCCCTGACAGACTCACCCTGCTCTCTCACAGGTCTTTAACACACCTTTTTTTAGTAATTCACAGCAGCAGTAGGCACTGCAAGATCTGTTTGATCCCTTCCTCCTTCCCTAGCCGGAACTCAGCTCACTTTTAAACATGCTTTAAATACTCAATTTCAAGGAAGTTGAACTACATATAGACAGTGGTTTTCCAGATTTATAAGAACATTTGATACGGTAAAGACTTGGCACTGCCTTTAAGGAGCTGGCTAGTGCTACTCTCTCCACTCTCCCCAAATAAAAGACATGTAACTCTAACATCAGAGGCCAGACACTCTACATCTCATTTTAAGACCACCAAACTAAGCAGAGCCATGTTAGAGTGCAATTTAGAATAATTTTTTTTTCTATTGATTGTTTGCAACCTAAACAAGCGATGCTCCTTCCTATGGTACAAGTCTTTTGGTGGGACCAGCATTTAGAGTTTCTTGAGGTAATCATAACAGAAGTTTATGACACGCCAGAGACGCAAACAATTCCAGAATGCCAGTTGTCTGACCCAGGTATCTTCCAGTTCATGATGAGATTAACTCTGCCACAGGACTTTAATATGTCCCCCATCAGTGGACAAAGCCTCAACTCTGACCTAGACCTACCTGCAGAATTTGATCTGTGTGTAAGAGGAGCGAAAAGCAGGTTACCAGAAAAACTAATCTGGCCCATGACTCAATGTCTGCCTGTCTCTACAGGGTGCTCCTAAGAGAATGAAGAGCAATTGCAGATTAGGCAACCTGCTCTAGCAGAACGGATCCAGCCTACAGATCACCTATCCACACAACAGTCAGAATTGCCCCAGAAAAAGCATTTCAAAGAGTATGCACATAGCCTACAAGATACAATGGAGTAAGAAACTAAAAATTCACCATCGCAGTCAGTTGAGCTTATCTGAAGCACAACGGAAATCCTAAGCAAGTATCCAGAATAAAATATACTCACCTGACATACTTCAATTATTCTAACTAAGACTTTGAAAGTATAGCATTTCTCCTTTTCTTACATAGCAAACGTTATTAGGTTAAAAAATCGATTACTTCAAATATTTCTAATACAGTTTGCTAAAACAGACATTGCGACACAGATATTACCCTCCTTAAAGACAGGGAATCTGATAAGAAAGGATTAGGATTGCATTTATATGTGATCTTTTATGTCTCCCCTTTACCCTGCATTCCTCGCTTTAAAGTTACCTGTGCTTGAATCAACCTGATGCACTTCCTCAAACAAATCCACTTCCGCAAGATTATAGTTCAAAATCACCCCATCTCTGCCTTTTTACTGAGTTTTTTGTCTCCTCCACACGATAATTATGAAATCAAAATACAACTGATCTGTAATATTTTCTGTGTTTTAGTTCCACATATATAGAGAAAAGAATAAATTTGGGGCTTACTAATTTTAAACCATTCCTATAATAAATGCACCTTACCTGCACCGGTGCAATCACCGCACAAGGGCCACCTTCAAACTGTTCTAATGCAGTTGATTCAGATTCACTAAAGACAAATCCTGTCATATAAAAAAAAGACTGTATTTAGTGAACTACGTAAGCGAGCACATGTTTACGTATAGTCCTTCCCTAACAGAAATGACACCTGATTTATCCTTTAAAGATAAGATAGGTTTGCAAGACTTTTTTCCCTGATCATGCAACAGAATGTGGTTAAACTATCTGAAGAAAAAAAGTCATGAATACAGGTAAGAGCACAGAAATGAATTATTTATCTCAGCAGTGAAATCAAGATCACAAGGGGCCACAGCTAGGGCTTTAAAAAAAAAACCCAAAAGATTTTTAATAGTAAAACTGACACTAGGGCACATGTGGCTGGATACATAAACCACAGGTTTTATTTTATTATGGTTTATTTCTTATAAATTGATTAAAATTTGTTTGTAAGTGATAATATTTTGTCCCACGTATGTAAAAAAAAATAATCATCTTTGGATCTTCTCCATGCACAATACATTTCTGTTCCCTATGAAGGGCATAGTATGCTTCCCACTGATCTCACTTTTGGCCTATCAGTGCTTCCTATTAAGACTGGAATATGCTGAGTAACTCAAATATTCACTTGCAACCACTGAAGCAAGCCTCTTAACGGTGTTCTTTCACAGAAGATACACTATATTTACAAAGATGCAAGATCCCCTATTTTCCACCGCTCCATCTTTAATGTATTTATATTTCAGAATTATCTTATGGTCACATAATAGAGCAAACTGGAGCAATTACTGAAAAATTTTTTGTTACCACCTTGTCCTTACACTCGTCTTCAACATATGGTGATTCACTGCTTGCATTTCTCATAGATAAATGCATATACATGGACAATTACCTTGATGAAGCTGACACATGGCAACTTACAGTGAATGATATTTTGCGTTATTCTTTTAAGTGCTGATAAGATTACACTGGAGTGACTAGTTCAATGTAATCTAGAAACCATGCAACTGTAACCAGCAACTAACCGGCAAGCACAAGCAACTGGGGACAGGGGGAAAGGGGATAGACATGCGTATTTTCTCAGCAGTGTCAGTCTCAGTGGAAACAATATTCAATGTTTCTTTCCCACAATTGCTCCTTTTCCCAATTCTGTAATATTACATGCTGCCGTATCAGAAGCATCCTGTCCTGTTCTAACTCCTGGATGTGAATTTGGAGTGGAGAAATGCATCCCTCCACTACAGACTTCCACACTACTGAATGACAGGTAAATCATCCCAAGCAGCACAAGAGAGGACTGCTGCATGTTTTCTAGGCCATATTTCATCACAGAAATGACAGCTCTTCAACAACAATGTGATGTTTGTTAAGAAGGATCAATGTAGCCATCGTTCTTTAGAAAAATGGGGGTTCCCCTGTATCTGACAGCAAGGCTCCAGGCTTGTTTTTTTTAACTGAATGTGCAAATGTGCATTACAAAGATGTACTTTATATCCAAAACCCAGATATACACATCATGCCTACATACTTAGATCCAGCATCACCTAAAGTAGCAATAAAGCTCCATTAATCCATACTTCAAAGTTTGCACCAGTGTCATTTCACTCCCCTGTTAATATGCCCTTATAAGAAATATCACCGCTCCTTTAAACTTTCTGAATTAGTTTGTGCAGGCTTAGCCATATTAAAAGGTAAGTCTTCCTCTACTGTGAAGCATTACTGCATGCCATCTAAGCACACTGCAACAATAGGGTTTTTTTAGTTGTTTTAATGATTTAGCCACTGCAGAAAAATAACATACTTGGATGTGGTACCATTAAACCACACTTAAGAAATCTTGAATTTGTTTCACATTCTTCAGGCTTCTTATAGAAAGCATGAACTTTCTCATCTTAAGCCTGCCCTGTTTTTCAAAACTGCTTCCTAAAAATAAAGAAAATTGAGTGTGATCCACCAGAGTGAATATGAATTTGAGATAGACAATGCAAAAATATTACACAGAATATGACAGAACACAACCACAGGAAAAAAAACATATATAACACCTAAAGAAACACTTCATTTCTTTTTACCTAAATGCTGCTTAATGCTTAATAAACATCAAGGTTCTAAAAGCAAATAAATGGGCTTCAGGGAAGTTGGTCTTGCTCTCTTTTAAAACGTTTACAAAATCTGAAGTTAGCTCAGGTAAAATTTCAGAAACCAGAAGTCTGAAGTCCAGCTGGGTTCAAGTCTACCTCAGCCTCCAACTGCACGTACTTACCTTTTTTGCCCTCCACAATAATCACATCTTGGGCAATCTCTATAAACACCAATAAACCCCGCACTCTTCCTTCTGATTTGTAGGAATGGCCTGGCCACCCTCTAAGCTGCCAGCTAAGACCAGCATCTCTGATCCAGACTAATTTCTACTTACTCTCACTCTTAATCAGTCATATCTATCACACAGCTCTTTTCACTCAAGATAAAATTTCAGGAGCAAAATAGATGTAATGCAGCCAAAAATAATCTTTTTTTTTTTTTTTTAATCTGCCTGCCTTTTATCCATGAGTATAATTATCATTCTTTACCTATAAGAAACAGAAAATTGTGTAATTATCATTTATCTTCCTTGTCATTTATAACCCTATTAAATGCTCCATTGACCCCATTTTTTTTTAATATCACTACTGCTCTACTGCTTTAACCTGTCTGTCTAATAGAAGGCAGGAGGGGGAATAGATCTAGATTCCTGTTGTTAATCAGTGTATTGCTTAATATTTTCAGTTATGGTGACTATAATATTCCCAAATCTGTCTTTAAATCATTAGCCCACTATTAATCACACAAATCAAAGTTTTATTCTCCTTATTCCCCCAAAACTTAGCACTTACCAAGATCCACTTTTTTTTCTTACACCCAATTCTTAGCTCTTCTACATATATTTTGCCAAAATGAATAAATGATTTAGTAACTTACTCCTGTCTTTCATCTAATACTCCACATCATGGTCTGAAGTACCACAGAAACCATTAATATTTCTGTTATGGCCACCCCATTGCCTTCCTACATCCTTTTATTATTGGCCTATTTCTAAAAAATATCCATTTATTTTTACATCCAAGACACTCTAGACTTCAGCACCAGCGTCATTTTACAAAGGATGCTGTATACCTCCAGTGATTTCACTGTGCAAGAACCAATTCTAGCCGAACGAAAGAGACAAGGGGAGTAGCTAAAAAGCATACAGCGTTAACCACATTAAGAAAACCCACAAACTTGCTCTGTCTCTGATCCAATCTAGCTACAAAGATGCTGTGCTAGTCATTTTTTGCCAAGCCAGCATCTCACTATGGAACTGTATTTCTTTTTCAGGATACAATGCCTGACAGAAACACTAGAATAATCCACCATTACCCAAGTACAAGGTTTACAACACGTTTTAATATTTCACCCTTTCTCTAGAGCTGGGTGTAGAATGATAGACACATTTTGGGTATAGCTTTGGGTTTTCAAAGTGTATTTTTATAGTAAAATGAAACTTCTGACATTTTCTGTGGGGAAAACAAACAAACAAACAAACCGTTTCCCACACACAAAAAGAAAGGAGTGTTTACTACAACAATACCACAACAAAACTCAACTTAATGGGTTGTAGATAAAGAGCCAGGAAGTCCTGGAAGGGTTTGAGGAAAGTACCCAAATTACCTGGTATATTACCACTAAATTGAGCAACAAACTGCCAGAAAACAAGGTAAGATGCCAATGTGACTGCCTTTTTTCACACCTTTGTAAAACAAAACAGCTCTGTGAAACTTCTGAATTTTAACTGTAACTTCTGAATCTGTACCCTGGTAAGAACCTTCTATTGTGAGCGCTCCTCAAGACCTTTTATCTTCTTTAAGCCTCTCAGCCTTATCCATAGTGAAGAATGGACTCATTAGCACCATATCCTTCTTTAAATAAGGACAATGTCTTTTCAGATATTTCTTTTTGGACCCAGGCAGCAGCTAAGAGTTTTAGCGTTCACTAATAATTTAGGTAATTGTGTTACAGGGCATTTCAAATTCTTACTGCTCTATGTGCATTCCAACTACATTAGCTACCATGCCCATTAGCCAGAAAATACAATCTTTTTTAACAACTTAACATGAACGTTCACACCCCATTCTTTCACAGTGAATGGTATCTTCTATTCTCCTTCCAGTTTCACAGTGCTGAAAGGGCTGTTGCTTACACATAATGACAGACAGTCCCTCCAAAAACTGTATTTCTGCCCCAAAGCCTACCTTTTCATTCAGCAAGCTCCACAAGAGGTCTTGTGTTCTTCAGAATGAACTATTTTAAGACAACTCTGCATTATGGAAGTATATGAAATAAACATTTAAATCTCATATACAATAGAAAGGGGTTTGACAGTCTGTCTGAAACAGCAGGATGTGGTGATTTTGTCTGTAAAGACAGTATCGCTATCCCAAAACCAATACGCCATTCCAAGGAGGAAAGAAGAAAAATGTCTACCAGCATAAAATTGAGGACAGCGACTCTTCCCTAGAGAAAGGTGTTAGGTAGCTTTTCTCAGCAGCATGTCCCTGCTGTTTTTTCCAAAAGCTACTGTTGTCTCACATTTAACAGCAGTATGGCTTGTGTTAGCAAGAAAGATCACTTCCTCCTGGCAGAATTAGCAACATCTACTTAAACGGAAGCAACATCTTCTACTTAAACAGAACTCTAAGTCAGTAATCATCAGTACATTTTAATTTGAAGACCTCAATATTTTTTCCACATGATGGGCAAATTCCAGGCAGCAGGTTTGGCCTCTAACTTCTTACTTCATTTTTACAGATGCCTTAAAAGTAGTCCACAGGCCATGACCTGAAGACCACTCACCAAGGTTTACTTTTATAAATGTGACCGGCATCAGTAAAGCAGAAGCTTCACAAGCAATTCCACCAAAAGATTTGGAGAGGCACCGCTTATGGCAAACAAGCAGCAACAAGGAGGCAGAGGTGGGCCAATAGGTGCAACATCCTTCAGCTGTTTGTACAATCCACACTTGTCTATACCCTACCTGTGAATATTAATTGAAAAATGCTTTTCTTCCTGATTAACTGTTTGCACTGAGTAATACGGAACTCAAAGAGATGGAAAGCAGACAAATGTAAATATTCTATAAATCACAGTCATCAAAACATTTTTAAAAAATTACATAGATACCAATGAGTATCACCTAAATGAATTTAACATTATTAAACTAAACTCAGAGGAACATTTTTCAAATTGCTATTTCTATTTAAGACTTTGAAGAGTGGCAAGTGTATTCCTTTTGCTCAAAATGTATCTGCTTGTCTGGTAACAATATTATTTCCTAGTAACCCTGACTTGTCTAAGAATATCACAGCTCAAATGACAATACTATAGGCTCCTCAACTAAGGATGTCATAAAAGCCAATCTGGTGATATTTAAATGTACTAGACTAGAAACAGAGTTCCAGGCATGTAAAAAAAAAAGAAACCTGGAAAGAATAGGGGAGAAAGACAATGAAAGTTGTCAATCTACTCACCCAGCTCTCAACCTGGAAGCTGGAAGAGAATCCAGATAAAATGGACCTTTTTACATTGTACATTATGCATATACACAAACTGTAGTATTAATACCTTCACACTATTCTTTTGCACTTAAATAGTTGTTTAAAATAAAGTTGTCCCATATCTTTCTTTCCAAAGACCAGTGAGAAAACAGCTTCGGTAATTCTGAAAGGATGCTGCGCTCAAACCTGCCAGAGATTCATAGTTGTGTAGACCCGATGCCGCATGCCTTAGGGCTGATCTGAAGAGTGGCTTTATGAATTCAATTTGTCTCTTGGATCAATGAAGAAAATCACTCCTAACATTGGTATGTTTCTTTAGGGTTCAGTCCTCCTCCTAAGTCCTTCCCAAGTCATAATATCTATGCCAGGAAACACCGAAGTGCAGACCAAGCCTTAGCATTACGTTCCTCTGGGTCCGCTTTGAGGATCCTGGTAAATGGGATACACAAGTTTCAAACTGCAAATTCTGGTGCAATCACAAAGAAAAAAATTTCTATAAAAAAAACCCAGCACAATAAACCCCAACCAAACTGCAACAACAGCTTTGCAGCGATGCCTTTGTTAAGTCAGGAACCAAAACAATATATTTAAAGTTGCCAACACAGCAAACTGAGGGAATTACTGTCACTAACTTTGAACAGCATACCCACATTAGCTACATCAGTTCTGTTAACTGCCCACAGATCAGTCGGTCTTCAGTTTTGGCCAAACAAATATGATGGTTAACGAGTTTCGTGCATGACGAGGATTCCTGGAATATTGCTATCTTTAGTGAGAAACTGACTGGTTTGACTCTTACATTCCTCAACACCTCCCCTACTCTCTACTTTTCTTTCTAAATGTAAATTATAGTTCTCAACTTCCAAAGAGTTTGAGAAAGGATCAGACAACATTCAGAAAGTATCTGAGATAAATACCATCGTTGGCACTATACTCTAAAAAAAACCACCAAACCACAAAAAAAAACCCAACACCAAATCATTTGTTTAAGGAAGCACCATTTATACTTCGATATTTTCTGTACATATGACGTGAAACAAGGGTCCATCCTTTAAACTTGAAGTCTTTGGAAATAATAAAGTTTGATTATTATGTTTGGAGTTTTTCTACTCTTGATGAGTCCGTGTTGACAAGACTCCTTTGCAGTCGATAAATGGGGCAGAACTTTTTCAACAAAATAGAAACTGAAAGTTGGGTAAATGTGTTATGCTGCTACACAACATAAGGGACTGAAACTTACTTCTTTG